GCCCCAAAAATTTTTTTTTGTGGGCCTTTTCCCCCCCCCCCCCCCCCCCCGTTGTTGCGCTTACAAGGTGGATACGGTGGATGAAAACGAAAATGAGACGGCGGGGCGAGGCATGATAGCCAACCGAGAGATCAAGGAGGGCGACGAGCTTTTCACGCTGCCCATCGACCTGCTCCTCACCAAGGACGCCGCCAAGAAGGTTGGTGTGATGCTACTGCAATTTCGCTCTCTGCCAACCCGGAAGTGTTCACGAGTAACAAGCGTTGCCAGTTCTGCTCGCAATTTTTCCAGGGGAAAATGCAATAAAGCCTCCGTCAACCGACGACGCCATGTCTCACTCCCGCTCGATTTTAGACAGTCTTCAGTCCATATGATGACAATGGAGGTTTCCTCAAGCCCGGGAGGGTTCATGTTCTACGTATCTCGGCAGCACGGAGCAAGGGGGCCGTATCCTGAGTCCGAACGCGCCCTGCTGTCTGTCCCAACAGCAGCACCTGGAGCCCGAAGGCGTGTTCTTAGAGCGTGGCCGGTGTGGATATCACGCCCTTGCCGCCTTGATCGCCTGGGAGCATGAAGCCCCATCCCATTTTTTCTTCGAGAGAGAGAGAGAGGTTACAGACGCCACCGCTTTGAGGACATACATGGTTCTCTTCAAGGAAGTGTCTTCAAAGTGGGAAAATGCCGTTCAAATTGTGAACTATGCGCCACGCTTTTTTTTTCTTCGTTTTTCAATTTTTCCTTCTGCGGGGCAGCATGCTTTTGAAAATTGTGGGTGTCCTTGAAGCGGGGACGGCTGTAGCGTTGTCGCGGGTGTGATCCCGAAGATTTATGTGCACCGGCCTGCCTAAGACTCGCGCGCATTTGCATGTACACCGCCGTTTATGTGTTTTGTAAACCCGCAGGAGTTCGGAGCTGACGTGATTACGGAAGACTTGTCTGAGTACATCGCCATCGCTCTCCTTGCGGTTCACGAGAAGGCGAAGGGGAAGGAGAGCTTCTGGAGCAGCTACATTGGAGTTTTGCCCACCGTGGAAGAGGCGAGGGGGGAACTGAAGGGACGGGAACGGAAGGGGCAGGAGGGAAGGGTTTATCACGCAGGAGGATGCATGCATCCAGCCGTTTCGTGCTCAATTGCAGAGGTTTCGCGTTGCTGGGTTTTGGGTCAGACATACATATGTTCGAAATTTGTCCTTGTGATTTCATAGCGTTTACCCGGCCGGAGAGCGTTGTCTCCGCTACCATTTCCGTGGACGACAACGCGTGGAATTCCCAGGTACCACCTGGAAAGCATCGAAGTCTCTTACACTCCCTCCCTCCCGTTCTACCCTTCCGTCTCGTACGTTCGTGTGGCCGTCACCCATGGCTTCATCGAAACGAGCCCTGCCCACCCCCCCACCCCCGCCATTTGTTTCCCATCCGACGGGTTTGCCCTCTGACCAATCAACCGGGTCTTCTCCCCTTGGTTTGTTGTCCGCCCAGGTGTACCCGACGTACCTCTGGGCTGAAGAAGACTTGGCGCTGCTGGAAGGGTCTCCCGTCATCGCCGCTACCGAGTCCATGCGGCGCAAGCTGGAGGTGGAGTACGCCACTGTGGAGAACGATTTGCTCGACAAATTTCCGGAGGTGTGTACCTGGTGTCATGTGACGGCGATAAGGCTAGCTAGGCACTTTGCGATGCTGGCGTAGAAGGACAAGCGACCGAAACGTTGGAGTTCGCTGGGCCTAAATGCGTACATGCGGTTGGGATACGAATAGGCGAAAACGATGGTTGAAGCCATGTTCTTTGGTAACGTTTGAACTGCAAAGCATCGAAACCCTAACTAATAGTAGGATTAATTTTGCCTGTAAACGTGGAAGATTGGAACCTCAAAGTCGAAAAAATTGAACCTGTTGACGGTTATCCCTCGCCGGGAATTAGATGACACGTCCCCGTACCCCACCCCCCGCCGTCCAATCAACGACCGTTGTTGATCGGGCGACCTCAGATCCTGCCTAGGGAGGTTCACACTTACGAGGAGTTCCAGTGGGCGTTCGCGATGTTGTTTTCAAGGTGAGCCTGGGGCAGCAGGTAGCTTGCAGAGTTTTTTTCTTAAGATGTACAGGTTGTCTGGCATATGGTAATACGCGGCACATCCGTTACCAACACACCCATCACCATCACGATATCCACCAACAAGAGAACCCATGGCACAGTAACAACACTAGGGGCAGCAGCAGCAGCAGCAGCAGCAGCAGCAGCAGCAGCAGCAACGAAGAAACAACCCGCCAAAAACAGCTGTGGCCGACGAGACCAAGCCTCCAATTACTATGCATGCGACTGGCGATTTCTGCACTGCCAGGGCCAAGGCTAAATAGCTAGCCAAGGCGCTTGACGCCCCTGATGTTGACTTGAGGGTGATGATAGACTACATTGTACAGCCGGCAGACTCGTTACCGTTCGTGGTTTCGCCGCAAACATCCGGTGCGGGACCCTTGGGCGACGGTTTCAACGACGCCGAGTACCGTTGCCGCTCGTGCTCGGCATGCGGCAGGGTACGTCCGTCGGGTATCGCACCCCCTGGACCGATTTTCAAAGTCCGGTTACCCTGCAACACATATATAAGATAGCCACGGTACCGAAAAGGGGAGAGGCGTTGGAACCTTCTCGTGGAGAGCTTTCCGGAGAACGTAGCGTTTGATCGTGGCACCCTCTTCGTCAGGGAGCAATGGCCATCGCGCTTCGAAGATCGGTGCAGGGGTGTGATATCTTACGTCATGTCACCTACGGTATTGTATAAGAACGATGCGCATACAGCAGTGTACTCCCGCAGGAATATATATAAAATGTCACGGATATCCTCTTACGCACGTCCGCGGGAGCAATACTCGGACCGCCAAGCTGCTGGTGTTGAGAGACGTTGCGGCACCGAAGTATGGTACTTTTGTACTGTAGCTTGTTCGTGAGACAGGCACGACGGTGGCTTCGGACTTGTTCAGGGCGACGAGGAGAACCCGGCCTCCGGGCGCAGGGGCAGTTTCCTGTGTGGCTTGCCTTGTGTGCGGAGACGGCCCAACGCGTAGAGGTCCTCAACGCCATGGTGACCCCCCCCCGGACCTGCCCCCTCTACGTGCGCCACAAAAAGTCGGCCTTTCTTTCGTATTTCCATGTCGTTGAAAACGCCTCCTTACCTATCGCCCGGTTCCGTTGATCTTCACTATTAATACGCGCCTGTCCTCCAAACCCACTTCGGAAATCGCCTGCATATGTTTTGGACCCCCTCCGTCCTTGGTGATGTATGAGAGCCTGGTCCAGCGAGAACCCGGCGTACTCCTTCCACGGTGTGTAGAGATGCTAGGTCAATGGTCCATCAACTACGGCATGCACGGCTATGAGCTTCTCTCCCTCCCCCCTTGCGCCGAAAAAGAGCGATACGACTGGGAGGTCTCAGCACCGGGGAGGCGGTTGCCCTCGTGCCGTACGCGGACCTGTTCAATCACAACCCGTTCGCGAACAGCTACATCGACGCGCGGCAGCAGGGGTTGTTCTTCTCCAAGACGGATGAGGTGGTGGTTTACGCTGACCGGTCCTACAAGAAGATGGAACAGGTGCGTGCTTGTGCCCGTGCCGTTGCCGCTCCCTCGCCGCAGTATGTTGCCGCCGCTAACGCTCCCGCACCTTGTAGTAGGCGGCGAAGACACGATTACCCAACGCGTGGTCTGCTTGGGGACACGGTTCTTCTGGTGTTCTCAGCACCCATGTCCAATGTCGGACGCATTAATAGTCGCCGGTAGCGCCAGCCAACCTGTGGAGCTCTTTCACAACGTGCTATAGACCAGAAATGCGCGCGAAAATTGAGTTTTTTATCAAAAGGGTATTTGGGACAAGCTACATATTCTTCCAGCAGTTGTCGCGCGATGTTAAGAGCCCTTTTACGGTGGAGCACGTGCTGCGTGAGGTCTAGATTCTCCCCTCCCCCTCCCGTCCCCCATCCCTGGCCCCCCCCCCGCCCCTGCACCGATACTGCTGCCCCCCCCTCGTAGTTTACTCCCAACCATGTTCTAACCCCCCTTTCCTCCTTTTTTGGTGTTCCCGGCAGCGGTCTCCAGTCCCGCGCTTCAACGTTTAAGTCTCCGCCTTCCTTCGTTTGACGTAGATACCATACGTTTGTGCGTTTTTTGCTCCTCGTTCTTGTTTGTGGCTGCTCGGCTTTTCGTTGCGTTCAGGTGTACATCTCTTACGGGCCCAAGGGGAACTCGGACCTCCTCCTCCTGTATGGCTTCTCGCTAGACCGCAATCCCTACAACTCCGTCGACGTCACCGTCTCCCTCGATGAGGTGATTGAGGTCGAGGCCTCCCTTTTGTTCAATGTTTTTCAGGTTCATCCGGCCTTTGGTTCCCATCGTTGGTTAGGCATGTGTTTTCTGCTTCAGCCACCACGTCACGGCCGGGTTCTACAAAATACACGGCAGTGGCTGGAGACCGGTCTAACGTAGAGCGACACCTTCTCTAAATATGTGACGCACGCTAATTCGACCCTTTCACCCTATATGCCCCGAGGCATGTTTGATTTAAGAGGGCCCAGGACCCTAACGGAAGGAGGCTGGTGCTCGCCCCCATTCCCTCTTTATATCTTTCCTTTCTTCCCTACATTTACCAAGCCCCTGGACCTCTTCGAGGTCCTTCGGGACTCTTGCGAGTCCCAGGACTCTCCCTCTTTCTCTTCCTTACCTTTCGGCCACTTAAGCGCCATTGCAAACCATCCTTGTCTGGTCTACACCACAGTGTACTTTACCGTCACTCGGTGAGCCTCTGCACACCGTTACTACGCAGTCGCCGGGGATACACCCAATCCTTTTTACTTCCCCAACAGGGTACGGCTACACTGCAAGAATGGGCGTGCTCTTGAGAAGCAGATCCAGTAGAGGAGCTGAAAACGATGAGCTGTTACGCGGCGTTGTAGAGGGTCACGCGTCGAGGAGGCGCTTGAAGAGTCCCCTGCTTCTACCCACGATGATATCCTGGCTGTGCTCTGCTGTGTGTGACGGTCTAACGTCGTTTCGTTACCATCCAACGACAGTCCAACACGCTGGTTTCAAAGATGCCACGGCCCATGTACTTTCGCCAGTGCGCTCATGAGACCCGTCCGTTCTATCGTTGTTCTCGCTGTCGCTGCTCCCAGAACGATGAGCTGTACGAACGGAAGAAAGCATTCCTGTCGGAAGCGGGGCTGCCGCCAACCAAGGCGTTTCCTCTCTACAACGACAGGTACCACCCGGTTGGCCTTTTTTTTTTTTGTTGCGCCTGTTCAACCTTTCTATGTTGTCGCTGTTTTTCGCTCTTTGTGTTGGTTAGGAAAGCAGCTACTCTTCAAATATATAGAAAACACACACACACACACCAACCCAAATGGGTACACATGATTTCCAACCTAAATTCCCCCGTTCTCGAGCATGGAGTATCGCTACAATGGATGGCGCTTGTCTATGATGGTTCATTGCGTGGTCCCCAACTTGTCAAGAAACAAACCACCATCTCTCTCCGAACGAATACATACAACAATGCACCTTTTTGAAATCAAGGTACCCAGACGAGCTGCTGCAGTACCTCCGGCTGATCCAGCTCAACACCGACCAGCTCCGCGGCCGGACTCTGGAGGACCTCTCGTTCGAGAAGAAGCAGACCGACGTTAACGAGCTCATGGTCCTGGACAGCCTCGTAGAGGCCTGCAAGGCCACGATAGCGGGGTACCCGACCACGGTAAGTAGCGCAAGGTTGCGAGTCTGCGCACAGGGGTGGGTCGAGCGATTTTCAAAGCGAAATTTCTCCTCAACCAGGAGGTTAGAATACCACTGCTGTCGAAAAGGGCGGTTTTGGATAATATCCCATCGAGAGCTTTCCTGAGAAGTATCAGTTGGCGCTCGCACCCTTCTGGCTGTGGAGAAATTGTCCTTTGAAATCCGATCGCACCCCTGTCTGTGCGCTTACTCGCAACCTTACGGTAGGCTCGACAAGACGACAGGCAGATTTCATTACCCCCGTAGCAGCGCCCTTATTCGTGTTTGGCTTACCTGTGAAAGTATCTCGACCCCAGAGCCTAAGTGATGGGTGTCGTCGGGAGTAGCCTCGAAAACCGAACGTGTTACGCACATGGTGTAACGACACACGTCAGGTACGGAAATAACATGGCGTTTTCGGTTCTCGGGTGTCTGGGACCACGAGGGATGCGGTGGGAATTTTGACAGGAGCATCGCTGATTTAACGCCTCCGTGGCCTGGGCGGCCTTCTTTCGCATCGAGCAATGAGAACAGAGGCCCTGTGGCCTCGCTCGAGTGTTGCACTGTGCTACTGTAGCCTGGTGACCTTGAGAATACTACAGAATGCGTGTTCCTTTTTGCCTACAGCACGCGCTGCCACTTGAGAATCTTAGCCAATTTGCCCCGAGAACTTTTTTCTTGTCTCCAGTGTGGGGTAGCCCAACATCGACGGACTATTTGTGTAGGTCTTAGTGTGGGATTGTGGACGGAGCACATGTTGTCTGGTCTGGGCCTTTCGTTCGTCTGTTCTTGAGCCTGAGGTTCTTATCTCCCACGTTCTTCAGGCACGTGCTGCGGTGCAGTACCTCTCGCGAACATATACGATATACTATGTCAATGTTCAGGTCTCAGGGAAAACCGTCAACATTTCTTTCTTTCGAAGAACCATTATCGCGTACCCCCCGCCCCGCTCCTGACCCATAACCCCTGGTTTGGCGCTCAAATGTTTTGTGTTTTTTTGTACGTTTTTTTTTTTTTCTTCGCAGGAGGAGCAAGACTCGAAATTAATGAACGACCCGGGGATGTTCCGCGCCCTCTCCAAGACGCAGCGCATGGCGGTCAAGCACCGGCGGCAGGAGAAGGTTATCTTGAGACGGACCATCGCGGCCGTAACTAAGGACAAGGAGAAGCTGCGGATTCCACTCGGCGGCCTTCCTCAATAAGCGGCGGAATTATAGTTTTATTTCTTCTGGGGGGGATCCCTATGCTATCGTGCCATGTGCGGGCTTCTGCGGTCTGTCTGTCTTGCTTCTATTTTGATGTCCTGGGCCGAAGCTTCGGTATTCTTGGTGGTTGTTTTGTGAGTCATTACAGTATGTAGTATGCCATACGTTCGTAGGAATAATCTCCGGGAGTATTCGATTGGTATTTAGACCGTCCATCGTGTGTGTCAATCTTGGTTTATGTCTATCCCCCTCCGATTGATTGGGACGTTCTGTGGAAGAGTTTGGATTGTTCCCCCGTGGAAAAATCAATGGTATGGAATGTTTCGGAATTTCCTTGTGTCGCTTGCTCATGAAGTTTTACCGACGCCGGCGAAAAAGCGCTGACCGGGGATGGAGCACCAGGGATTAAACTTCGAAGCAGGGTTATCCCCGCGCGGGAAGGGATAAAAACGATGCATTAGTTTGCCTTCATTACTGTCGAAAAAAAAAACTTCGCTTGCAACATGAGTCCAGCATCGCGCAAGTCACGAAGATTGACAGCTCACGTGTTGCTGGTTTGCCGCACGCCGTCTTTCACGGCAACCATGGCTGTTGCTCTACAGCTCTACAGGCGGCAAATGTGATGCCTCGGGGGCATCACCCGGTGCTGCCTTTCGCGCGCCTACACGAAAAGTTAGCGTCCGGTATTTATTGAGTGCTGACGATTCTTACGCCTCGATGGGAGCTCTTCCTCGGAGATGTACCTCACGACCTCACTCCCGCAACGGTTTCTTCTTTTCGTGGCATAGAAACGCCTCTCTCCCCCCATCGGTCCAAGTGGTGTGGTTTATCATTTGGTCACCTCGCGATCTTCAAACCGAACCTCGCATCTCAGCCGTGATAAGACACGGACTTGGTTGCTCTCACACTCATAGTCTATGCCCAACAAGTAGGTGGACAACGGGTACATACATACGTCGTGAGCACAGGCACCTTTTTTTTTTGTACTTGCACACAAATCGACATCACGGTCGACGGCTGAAGAAACAGGCGGCTGAGAGAGCCGTTTCGCCCCAAACAACAGCTCCCAGTATTTTTCGATCATGACGTGTACAGTACGTGGAAAACGCGTGGTATCCTAGCACCAACAGTGCGCTCTGAAACCATGTAGGGGTATTCACGCCCTTGCTCAGAGCCTTGCAGATGAATGCTGCTGACCTCTCTGGTTGTTCTTCGAGATTTAAGGAAAAATAAATACACACACAGAAAGACTACCCATTCGAGATATACCCACAGTCGGACGGGATGTGGTGGAGTCTTTTCAGTGAGTGGAGGAAAACCGGCTGGGTACTCTGGGCTTATTTCGAGTCTTTTTAAGTCTATACACTGATGATTTATATCAGTTGTTCTTCGAGATTGATGTTGCTAGGCGAAGAGCCAAGAGCCAAAGCTTCAGTTTCACGTTTTCGCGCAGGCACGCACGCACGTATTCCTTCCCATCAAATAATCGGATCGCGACTAGTACAAGACTCAAAGCGTTCGTGTTGTAGCACAATACAGCCATGTGAATGTGTTGTCGAAACCCACAGACGGTATTTTTGTTTTCGTTTGCACCCGTTCCAAGCGTGGTGCCAGGTCTCTCCTGAACTGCTTACAATCATACGATGTCAATCCGCAAATGAACGCACAATGTTCTCAACCTCTGATGCCTCAATACAACCAAAATTGGGCTACGTGGCGGTCGAGCTCTCTCATTAGAACCTGACACGCACTACATAGTAACAGTAGTCCTAAAAATATACGTAAAGTGCACCTGGTACGCGAAACACAAGCGCCCAGTGTCCCCCCATCTACGCCACGCAAAAGGACGGGTGAAACACTTACGTCTACACCACACAAAACCAAAACAACACACTACAGATGTTTCAAAAATGACGACCCTCTTTACTTGTGAGGGCTGCTTTTGGCGGAGGTGAACCTCGCGTCTTCCACGTGTTGAACGAAAATAACGTGTCTACACGTCTATATCAGTCTAGTCTAAGGCATGCATGCATGTAGACTAGGTATATTTATACTCTTCTTTGGCGAGAGCGTGTGTGCGCTGTCCTAACGCTGCACAAGGGAACGCAGAATCCTCATCTCAATGATATTAATTTCCCTGAATCGTGCCATGACACGCCACGTAGAACAGCTCTGTAAAATTGGCATCACGCGTGCATAAGAATCAAGGTGCTCCCTCCTGCCACCACGCTTTCCCCTTCCCGTCACACCCCGCAGCAAATGTATCACCTCTTTCTAACCCAAACAACGGCCGTTTGTACAGTGGCACGAGGCGCAGAAAACACATAAGCCTACAAACGTCCGCAACAAGAGGAATTGTTGCTACATACGTGGAATACGGCGTGTTCACGCGTTGCGGGCTATGGTTGCCCTAAAGCTTGGCCCTGATGCCCGAGGCGCCGACTGCCGGAGAGACGGCCACCGAGCGGGCCCCGCTGTGAGCACCGCCTCCGCCACCACCTCCGTGGCGGACGAATTGAGACTCGGTCACTCCTTCGCCCATCGCGGACGTGGACGCGAGGCCGCCCGTGGCGATGTTTACCTGACAGGGGTGGGGCAGCGAGGCAGCGGTACATCGTTCCCATGGTAGAGACGTGATCATTTCGTATACTATAGGTGGTTGGTGTTGTGGCGATGGACAATAATTAATTGCGATGGACTTTTTTTTTGTCAATTTTGAACCAAGCTATGTACTCCTGATGTCACCTGCTTGTCCATGAGGTTGGCGCCAGACCACTTCTGGTGCGTGAGGATGTCCACCTGCTCGTTGCGCTCGGGCCTCTGCACCAGCTCCACGTACTTTATCACGCCATGCCTGCATTGATTGCAGTTCACAATCAAAGGAGCACCATCATCGCCGTCAAACTATTAGGGACCTCAACATCGCGTCTTTGCAGGCAAAACCATATTACACGAATCTTTGCAACGAATGGACCGCGTCGAAGCGAAAAAGGAAACGAGCCACACAAGGAAGGGTATATGATCGGTTCGTTCAACGAGCCGCCCTTCCCGGTCGTAAGCGGAGGCGGCAGATACCGCGTAAAGAAGGACTCGATTACCCAAGGCGTCTCTCTGTGGAATTTTGACCTAACGTGTACGCCTGCACTCGCATACTGTAGGGTGTCGTCGGCGAGGAGGATCCCATTACCAACGCATCTGTCGTGGCTTATCGGAACACCTTCACAGTAATAGCGCAAGCGCCTCTTAATCTTCTCCTCATGTACAGCTAGATGGGTTGGGCGTGTGCGTTGTTCTTTGCGTCGGCTTCGACAACGAACAACAGGGAAATCGACCTGTGAATTTCGACCCTACGTAACCATGACCGGTCGCCCCGGTGTTCTAGTTGGTAGCCTCGTAACCTTCTAGAGGTCAGGTCAGGGGTTCGAATCCCGGCGTAGGCGAGCTTTTCTTGCAAAGTGAGTTTTTCTCTCGCTTCCGCTCCTGTGGCCAAGTGGATAGCGCTAGTTCGTGTGTACACAGAGGGAAGAGAGTGCTGAACTCTTCTCGCATTAAAAATTGAAGGCGAAGTACCGCAGGAGGGGAGGGTAGAGAGAGGCTCTTCTTCTGTGTGACCACGGGTTGGCATAAACGACACTAGTGCTGTGAGCGCTGATTGAAGTGAAGAACAAAAAAAAAAAAAAAAAAACATGACAAGTTACTAGCGTTTCCTCCGACCGAAGTTTCGTCTGCAAATGTGGCGCATGGAGGCTTATCCCCGCTAGCACGAACAGGTAGGCATGCCAAAAATACTGAAACCACCCAGCAAAATTATTGACATGGTCTAATGTTGTCTGTCTCACTTTCCGTACTCCTTGGCGAGACGGGAAACAATTAGCCCGTCCGAGTGAAAGCCTGCCAGGGTGATGAACTGCATTATGATGCCGGTCGTGCCGTTTCGGACGAACAGGGCGTAGATGGCGTCAGATGCCAGAAAACGCAACAGCACGAGAGCACCGAAACCGGTGGAATGGGACGGCGGAAAGGTTAGACCGGCAGAAGTATTTGTAGTTGTAGATCCCAAGATGAAAAGAACCAACAGCAGGAAGGCAACGGGTATGTTCCGTTAGACGCGCAAGTTTTCGCTGTTTCCCCTACTCTCCGGATGGTCTTGACTCAAAGTTCGATGTTCCGTTCGGTACGACCTACACAGCAACACCCGGCTTGGCTTTTATCGGCTGGTTTTTTGTCATGGACGACACCAAAGTAACAATGCCAAACCCAGTCGCACCCGAAACCGACGTCTAGGTTTCCTTGAGAACCGAAAGGATGGGTAACGTACGGGTTGACTCCCTGACTACTTCATCGCTTGCCTGCCACACGAAGCCCAGGCGGCCCAGCTCCCGGTTAAACGCGGCCATCTCCTGCTTGGACATACCGGCGGCGTCCCAGTTGAAGCTGGGCGAGAGGTTGTAGGCCAGCTTCTGGTGAGGCACCGCGGCGTGGATACCTTCCGCGAAGGCCCTCGCCTCCGGAAGGTTGGGCTTGGCCGTCTCCATCCACAGCAGGTCGGCATGCTGCGCGTAGGCACGCCCCCTGTGGAGAGAAAGAGAGAGAGAGGCAATTAGTATTTAACCGAACCGCAGGAGTTCCACGAGTTTTGTGCTCGTGTTGATGCGTGCCGTGCAACACGTTTGGAGACGGAGCGCCGTTCGTGTGTGTGTCGCGGTAGAGGAACCGTATACGTTTGGCGGTTTTCCTTTCTACGATATTTTTCGCAAGTGGTTTGTTGTTGTTGGTCTTACTTATTCTCTCCCTCTTTCGCGATTCGCAGCCTCTGTTTGCGTCGGATGGTTTAGGTACTCTTGACAGTTTTCTCACTGACTATGTTGCCCGAGGTGCCGAACTTGAGACTAAACTACGCGCATGTTTCTTCTGTTCGGTTCCCCCATTTCTTCACGCTGTTGTATCGTCCACTTCCCCAAAACTACGTTAGTTCTACTCTCTTCTGCCTTTCAACGTGGGCAAGCCATCTCTTCCTCTGTTCTACCTCTGGAATTTTCCCCTGCCTTTTTTGTAGCCTCAAGGTACCTTGCTCAAAAGTTGAACTCCAACCTTTGCAAAGCCGATTTTGGGACCATTGAGTGAGGCACGTTCTCAAAGAGGCGAGGGAAGGAAAAGGCAATGCCGAGAAGGAAAGGGGGTTCCGCCATTCGTTGTTCGGCAGTTGACGCGCCTAGGTTGAGACCGCCAACGACGTATATACAGATTCACTATTCGTCCCCCCTCCCCCTCCATACATACGCCGGGGGCATACATGAGAAACCCCGGGCCCCGACCGCGGGGGTTTCGAACCCGTCCCCTTTTTTATCAGACGGACAGTTCCGGCAGAGGGAAGAATCAAAGACGTCTCTTGCCTGGCGATGCAGTAGTCGACGCCACCCTTGAGCTTGAAATACCCCTCGCGGCTACGGGGTGCGTCCCAGTCGAAGTAGACCTTTCGTGGGCGATGGGAAAGGGATGGCGCGCGTCAAGAGTCTGACCGTCCTTGTGTATTCCCCCCCGTGTTCGGTCGTGTCAGTAGCTACTTTTTTTTTTTGCGGAGGGAGAGGCTCCACAAAGAAGAAACGAACCGACCAAAACAAACGCAAGAACGACCCACGGGCACGGAAGGACAACGTCTGAAGGGTAAAGACGCGGGCCGGAGATGCAACATTTATCAATCAATATGGTACATTCCACCAGCCCGCCGCATGGTCAACGCGCGCAGAAACTCTCCGCTCGAACTCTGGCACACTTCGTGGTCGTTGGATCCGTTTATCAGGGGGGCGAGGCTCTACACCCGCAACAACAAACTAACATCGTTCCAGTTGGCGCCAGCAGCGCGAGCTAATAATATCAACAAATCACGAGTGAACAAAGGGACAAGCACACCTGCTTGCCGCCAAGAAGCCTAGCGCTCAGCACCCTAGCCTCGGCGTTGCTCAGGCTGTAGGCCTTCGACTTCCACTCTTGCAGCCGCTGATCGCGCCCTTGCAGCCCGCGCATGGAGTGGATGGCAGCTTCTACGGCCTATATTTTGGTCGAGACAAACGCGGGGCAAGAAAACAGGAACGGTACGGGCATTGTTCTCAAAGAAACGAACAAACACACATATATCATCCTTGCCCTCGAGTTTGCAGTCGTGACGCGGTTCACGTGGTTTGGGAATAAATCCAGCAACAAGCAAGCGCACGAACGCCGCGAAAGAATATGCTAGAAGCCCTCTGTCGAGTAAAAACGGGCACGTGAACCCTCTACCCCGTGCTGCATCGCGCTGCATGCATGAGGTTCTTAATGCACATACCTCGGGAAAGCGCATGAGACCGGCCTTCTCGCCCCAGTCCTTGCTGAGCTTGTCGATAGCTTCGAACGACGCGCCTCCGGCTCGTGCTTCGCGGACGAGGTCGTTCAAAGGCCTGGGGGGTGCAGTGAGTGCAGCGTACGAAGGGGGATGGGTGTGGTTGAGACGTACAACGGTACACAAGGCACAGAACTGACGGAATGTAGAGTGTGTCGGTTGTTTCAGAGTAGAGAAGCGCACGCTTGGGGCAAAAAGCGAGCTTAAGCAACATTACAACTGGCTCCTACCAACAATAACGCATCACATTATTAGTTTTTTTCACAGATAGTTTTGTCACCGAACTACAAGTGAATCCGTTGCACCCCCCGGTGTGCAAGTATGGTACGACTGTGGGTGAGAGAGAGAGCCAGCCGCTGTGTACGCATAGTAATACAACCCCTGCGCCCCCCCCAAACCGGCAGAAACGGAAAAACCCTCCTCGCCTGGTGCCTGGGACAGTGGCTCCCACGATGAAGGGGTGGTCGCGTGGGTCGACGTTGTTGTCCAGCAAGGACGCGGCTTCGGCGTCCGTGCGGGCCACGATGACAGTCTGAGATAACACACACAGCATGCACATCAGATCACACCGACGAGCAAAAACATGCAAGCCACGACAATAGTCTGAGAACACACATACATGCATGCACATCGCATCAACGAGATAAAAAAAAACGCATCTTGTTTGCGTACCAACTACTGAGCAGAGACCGAAAGGTTTTTTAGGTGAAGACAACAACGTAGGTTACGGGGGTGGGGGGGCTCGGCAGATGCGGCATAGGTGAAATATCAATATTAAGACATGCGCGACTAAGTTTGTGGCACCGAATGGTAAGGAGGCGTCAACAGGGTGTTGTTCTTTTTTTTTTGTCGTTCTGCTCCAGGGTAGTTCTGTATCTGTGTACTGTCTCTGCATCATCACCAGATTTCTTCTCCGTTTTCAGTGCTAGCTGTTGCAGCAATTGCAGCTGGCGTGTTCAAGGCCACCACGATTGCCAAGCCTCGGACAAACGCGTAACGTTGGCTCCGAAGGATGAACACGGCCTTCAGAACGCTTTTACGAATGGCAAGTTGTGATGGTAGTGACGGTCGAAGCTCCTCTTTTCTTTCGTGCCCTTTCGAAGCACTCTCTCACCTCGGTGCCCATGATGTCGGCCTGCAGCCTAGCCGCCACCAGGCGGTCACAGTGCTCTTGCATGGACACGAGCACCTTGCCTCCCATGTGCCCACACTTCTTCGTCCCGGGCTGTTCGTGAGGTACGTAGCCCACAGCCAAACAGATCCCACCATTGTATTATAGTACGCAAACAGAAAAAACAAAAACGAACGAGGTGAGAGCACAAGAAAAGAGGTTCCGATCAGATTCATGCCCTTACGCACCGAAAAGGTGGGGCAGCTATGCTATGCTATGCTAGTTGTTGCGCCCTTGGGTATCTTGTCACAGAGATTCATTGAGGCTTTGGTGTGTACTCAGAACCCGAAATTACCGAAAGTGCAAGTTGAGGCGGAACGCGCATTCTCACCACTACCGACCGGGTGCTCAGCCGGTCGACATGCGCAGAGGAGGTGTTCCAGTCCAGCACGTATCGAGGTCGTGACAAATGCTGAACCGACTGAGCCTGTGATCCCCTAATTATCTCCCACCATCTGCAAGGCCGCGTTCGGCTGACATATACAGCCTCACCCAGGGTAACTCCTCTCGCAGGACGGGGGGTTTATCTCTTGATGGCGGCTACCCTTTCTTCCCAATCACTGTAAGTTCCACCAACACTCCAAAACAACACGCGGTAGTTCCACCCCTACCTCACGTGTGTGCCACAAACCATCTTCCCCGTTCCAAATCGCCCGGTTCGCGTTTGTTTCCCACCGCCCGCCGACCCAATCACACGCCCCGGCATAAACTCACCCCACAGCACCTACCTTCTGATCCTCGAAGTGGATGCCGGCGGCACCCTTCTCGATGAACATCTTGGTGAGCTTCATGACCGCCGTGAGACCACCGTGCCCGGTGTCCCCGTCGGCGATGATCGGGCGGAGGTAGTCTACGGCGGGGGCAGACAATTGCTCGCCCTCGCTCATGGAGCAGCGTTCCTGATGGCGGGGGTTTTATCCTTGGGGGCGTTATTTTGTGTATGTTTGACGCTCACTCCGCCAACAAGGCAGGATAAAGCTCTCAAGAGAGCGGGGTGAAACGGATAAGCGATAGGCGACGTTTGGGTGGTGACGGCGGCAACGATGAGAGTGACGTCACTCACTCACGCATTCGAATATCTCGGTCTCGGGCAGGTGTCGTTCGACGAGACTAGACCAGAAAAAGTCCACAAAGACTACAGAAAAACAAAGGGAAATGCCCATAATAGGACCCCACAAGCAATGAGTAGGTGGACATCTTTCGTGAACGTGTTAGGTCGCTCATAAACGGCGCACAGCACTGCGTCCCTCTCTGCCGGGTCGCACGCTCCTCGTCTCCGTTACGGGGTGTCGAGATTGGCCTACACCGCTCTAGCCTACGCGGTCACCCTTGGACGCCAAAGTGCGATGTGTACTTCGTGGGGACCGTCGAGGGTCCCGAAAAATCGATTGTAGTTACGCCTGCAGTAACAACTTGCTCTATCGATGCCGCCCATGCAGTACAATAGTGCCACTCGAAGCACTGCGGAGAGAGGTGGAGGAACGAGGGCCCCTTGAACATCACCCTCACCCCTCCGGCTCGACGCCTACAAGGAAAGGTAACTCACGTCATTCTGGCGCCTGTCGTGGTGCCTCTGCGCTCTGAAGAGCTGGTCGACTTTGTTGGGCACCGTATCGTAGGGGTAGTCGGCGAAGTCTGGACCGGGCTCGTTGCTGGTGCAGGGAGTTTGCAAAAAAAACAAAAGGCAGGGCAAGGAACGCGGTGTGATGCTTCGGCCAAACGTGGTCGAGTCTCCCAACGATAATACTCGCCAACGGGAACGAGCTGATGAAAAATTGCCGTAGCCAAATAGGTTGTGCAGGCTTTCGTAAGGGACCCGAGGGGGGGAGGCGGTTTTGGGCTGATTCCCTTACGGGAAATCCGAATGGTGTTGGGTGGTCACGGACAATGCGGGCACGTCATATGCAGGCGTGTTTACAGCTGAATTCCGTTCTTCATGTCACTCGGCGAGCAGAGTGCAACAGTTCAAGCGGCGAATCAAGTTTGATGGAAATCGTTGAGCCTCATGCATAGAACAGTTCAAGCGGTGAATCAAGTTATAGATGACATCGTTGACCCGCATGCAAACCCACGCATGTACGTAATTGATCAACGTATCTAACATGCACCGCTGGTTCATACCTGGTGCTGGCGGTCGATGAGCACTGCCAGCCGCTTACGTACACCGTTTCGAGGTGCGGCGCCATCTCGATCACCTTAAGACGGTGACAGCCAGGATTAGAGACGCAGCACAGGCAAGGGTGAACAAGGATGGTACAATAAGCGCTACTTTTTTCGCCGTCGAGTTGTTGGGATCACGCGCAAATTGCGTTTTCGATTTTTGCACAGATGGCGTGCATCCGCACAACTATTACACGGAGAAGTTGGCATGTTTGTTGAAGACTTCCACGTCATGCGTCAGCATGCCACGTTTCGATCCAGTAGAATGCCCTACTGCACCACTGTTACCATGATCTTTGTGATAGATGTTGTGGCTGCCCTTGATTTTGGTTGTGGGTAGTCATGGCAGTTCTCGTTCGGACAAAGAACACACCTCTCTCTCGCGTATAGAGATCCTTTTTCTCGTTGCACACGAAAATGACGAAATGATCAAGCGTTGTCCCAAAAATCATCTCAAAAGTTGTCCCGAAAAATATCTCAACTATTTCTCCACCCACACTATTCCATCATTAACGTAATCACCTGGACGGGGTCCAGCGCCCCGAACGTATGAGAGAAGTCTCCGAGAGCATGCTTCTTCTCCAGCAGTTCCCACAGCTTTCGTGCCTGCGTTGTCATTCCGTCGATGTGAACCGAAAAGACCGGCGTAGTCATGCAGCTGAGTAATCGCCAGTAGAGCGAAGAGAAACTCCAACCTTACAATACGCAAGCCTGAGCGATGTAAAAAACTGGCACGCCTTGCGCAAAACATCCAGTACTACCTCCACAATGTACGTGTACTACATTCACCTAGTAGTACCTGTATGTCTGAGGGATATGTCTCCGGGAGGGTTCCGCGAAGGGAAACCACCTCCTCGGCGCTGAACGGGCGCTTGGTGTACCGAAACCGAGGGCTTCCCCACCAGCGCTTCGTCGCCTCCACCTAAAGGACACAGAGATCAGGGCTTGGAAGCTTGAGATTAATGTACAAAAGATCACCCAAAATACTATCAAACCAAAATGTATCGGTTGAAGGAGTCTCACAAGTCCATCTGTTCGCGGAAGGCAATGTTAACGTGGCGTTCAGGCACACGCGCACGTACGGACAAAGAGCAGAGGGCCTTTAGCACGCACTGGTGGTCGCGCGTGTTTTGTGAGGGTATCATCGAGACGATTTTTTTTTGTCACATCTGTCCTGTCTGGACTACTTGTGTATCTAATAGTATATTGACGCACTATCAGCCGGAGTTTCAAACAGGAGGAACTTCTCCACCTCTCCAACTGCGGTGGTTGCCTTCCAATTTCCGACGTGAGAAGGGTTCAGCAGTACCTTCCCCCTTTGTTTCGTGTCGTTGAATGTCGGTTGTTAAGTCCGTATGATGAGGCTTTTGCGCCGCTGTACCTTTTTCGATTCGGCAAGTATCCCTCCCCCTTGAAAACAACGTAGACAGACCCAGCCTGACAAATTCAACTTGATGACTCGCACTTGTTCAGCTCTTCTTACGAAAACCAGGCTGGCTCGTAGGTTAACCACAACAAAATCGTCGTCATGTTCATCTCAACGAACCGACCGGTTGATAAGGACATGTAGATGTAATAAAAATCATAGATACAATAGACGACTCTCACAAAAAGCGAGCGTAGTTCGGGTTGATGTCAAACCCAAAGGAAGAGGTGAAACTTCAACCCAATCTTCAAGAAGCAAAGAACAAAAGAAACGACTCGTCGAGGTGGGGCCGAGACAACAGCGTCTTACCCGGCACGCTGCAGCATCTTAAGACGAGCGATCGCCGTCAAAAGTAACAGGTCGATGTGATGGCGGCGTAAGACATCTCTCTCGCGAGCACCCACACCCTCGGCGGTTTGATCGTTCAGCGCAAAAAGCCCCGAGAAAGAAATGGTCCTGAGTTCTTTTGTTTGTAAGCTGATGTTGACGAATTCGTCAATACTGCTACCGCTTTGAACCGCTGGTACGCCTTCATACGCGCGCCCGGCGGGATCCTTGGCGTGGACCACTCTACACACGCACTCCCTGGCGTGTTTGTACGACTTCCGCGTCTTAGAGAACTGCAGTTTGTAGGGTACCGTTCAAGTTCCGCGTACTCCTCTCTCTGAAACGTACGATAGTTCTACAGCAGTACCGTGTGTCGCGCGAACGAACACGCGTTGGAATCTCTATGTACTACACGCTGGGCATGTAGGGAAAGCTATCCAGGGCCATTCCTTTATTGGTGTTTGTTACGGAGGCGCTTTGAGGAGCAGCACCCTTGTACAACCTAGGATCTAGACGTCTGAACTCCTTCAACTTAGTTGGAACCCGCTCAACACCGTCCGTTGAACTTTGTCACGGCTATGCTACCACCACAGACGAAAAACAGTCCTCAAGGGACGGTGTTTCTACAGTAGATCCACACACCGCCAAATACAGCCGAGAGCCTCCGTACAGTGATGAGTTGGCATGAGCGTCAATCTCACTTGCCCGGTGCGAAGCAACCAACCAAGATTCCTAAAATTCGTTGGGCTTGACGTGGGATCAAGCTGAGTGTGTGTTCCGCTCTATTTCCAAAACAGTCTAAATTCCGCCGAGATCGCAACCACTCATCAGCAACACATAGGCCACGCCCATCGACCACGCTTCTTGAAAAGCATCCCCCCCCCGGCCTCACATCGTGGTTGAACGTTTTGGCTTGGACTTGCGCTCCGTGCGACTTGAGGTTATGCCCGAAGAGCTGCTGCCCGTACATCGACGCTGGCGGCATTGTGATGATCAGATCAACCTCTTCCAAATTCAGGACTGCGGTGAAACTCTCTCGGGTTGTAAACGAGCAGGCTAGGCCTCTCGAAGGTAGTAGTTCGATCGATGGGTGGTAGAAGGCTGTCACAGGGGGTCGGGTGTCGTTGTTCTGGGCGATGTCTGGATGCTGATGACGCGCTGAGTGCGTGTGCGGAGAATTTGAGTGCTTGAGGCCTTCGAACGGCAACTTGAACATTCCGGTCAGACCAAGCGGCGAAATAGGTGCCGATTCAATCCGGGGCACCGGGCACTGGGCACTGGGCAGGGAGCAAGGAGCAAGGAGCATGGAGCACGAACAACACACTACCGCCAGCGCCATGGAGCACGAACAACACAGAACCGCCAGCGCACCAGTGTCCACCTCCGGGAAGAGGGCTATAACGTTGATAGTATATTAGTTTGCTGTGGCTTATTATTATGGCCGGCCTTCGCAATAATAAATATGCTTCCCCAGAAAATAACGGGTGACGGAGACCCGGATAAAAACAGCACGAAGGGGGGGCGGAGAGCGCAGAGACAACGTTCCGCTTTTTTTCAAGGGAAAACTACAGCAGTATGTTCATAAGGACTCGAGAACAGAGGGCTCAATGGGTGAGTTGATTGAGGCAGTTGCTGTGGTCAGTGACAGCAGCAGCAGCAGCAGCAGCAGCAGCGACTTCGGTATATCTCGATCGCGGGTCTACAGAGATATTTCGTGCAAGACACCGCCACCCGGAACACAACCCTTCGAGATGGAGTTAATACGGGTACGCATCACATTGTCTGATCAGCGTCGCTTTGACAACACTGCCTGCCTCAAGACGATTGAGATATCACAAGATCTATCTGGTGATCTGGCGTATGCGTACACGTCGATGCGTCCGCCCATTGGTAACATTAATTAATTGCCCAAATCCGGGCTGTTCCAAAGTCAAACGCACGCAGGGTACATAAGTTTAATACGCGAGCAAACCATTGTCAGAACCCGACAGGCTAGCTACTTGTTCTCCAAGGGTTTCAAATCAGAAACAGAACAATCTCTCTAATAACCCTATCTGTCGGTCTGCGTTGTTCTCCCCCCGCCCCCCCCTCCCCCGCCCCGATATCTATCGTTCCCACAGCCCACCTTATTCTTGGCTCATACGCAAAAACCCGTTGCATCTACAGTCAGCCGTTACCCGTACTATCGCTATTATAGCGAAGCATCACCAAGCTAAGCTGTATAGTCTCTAAAACACACAAACCTGCCCGGAGTTGGTAGACATATGCATACCTCCTAGGTCCAGCAACGCAGCCAACCCCGTACGCCCTCCCTGGGAGGCGAGAAAGCCTCGCCACTACAAAGAAAACCACGCGGAGAAAATACGGCCCAGGCGCTCGCTCAAGGGTCGTGTTTCGGGCGGTGGGTACTTCAACCAACGACCGATTTCGGTTCGAAACACGAACGGCCCTGCGAAAAGCCGTAAGCACAACGTGATGGAAAAAACAAAACCCCGGGTTCTTGTCAAAAAAGACGCGGAGTAATTCAGCTCTTACGGGTTTGGTAACAAATCTTTTTGGGTCACCGAAAGGGCAACGTAACAAAACACAGGGGAAACTGAGTCTAGCTAGTCATCGACGCGTACCTTGAACCTATCTATGGTTGGGTAGGTCTCGAGACGTTGTGCCTCTCGCCTACACCTCCCCTACCTAAGCGATGAAGCAAAACAACAAGAGTACCATGGAGTAGCCAGATGCCTGAAGCAAACTACTCGACCTGTTGCCTACCGCGCGTGTGGGTTTTTTGCCTATCAAGACACATCCATCCAACAAGGAAATACGCAGTTTTATCTACCCCCCCCCCCCCCCCCCCGGGGCACATGAGATGCTCCTGATGCTAAAAACTAGTCGATCGAAAATCGTCGCAGGGTTCACCAAAAGAAAGCGTGTTACTATCATCGTAATGCCCGGCAAAAAATGCAGATAAAGCTGATCGTTCTTGTCACACCGCTGGGGTTTGCTGTTACCGCTGATCGCAAGACGAGCTGTACTTCTGTCCTACTAGCTGCTGTACTTGCAGCAGCGTACAACTCAAGCGGCCGTCTTCTGTTGCTCTTCTGCTTTGCCGGGGAGGACGAAAAAAAAAAAAACTGCAGTAGGCACAGTAAAAATCAGCAACCCAGCCTCGCAGCGGCTCTTTGACATGAAACGGTAGGTTAAAACCAACCCCATGGAAGCGTGTTTGCCGGCAAGCATGCACAGCAGTAGTCCCTCCGACAAAGCCATGCAGCTCCCATGACCAAGCTCGCTAGTCAAACCAAAGCCAAACACACAACTGGCAACCGCTCCAACAGCATGCTTGTGCGAGGCCACGGGTGGAAAGAGTCCCCGCTGCTGTTAGTGGAGACGCGCCCTTATCACTGCCTGTCGCAACCCGAATCAAATACCCTCCAGCGCTAACCTGACCTAATAGACAGAGTAAAAAACTGCGTTGCTGCGGATCCATTCTTGCGTCGAGGGTGGAATCTGATTGGTCCATTCAATACTCGGGGCGTTTCTGTAGTTGGCTCGAAACACATCCAAACACACCCGCGACAGCTCTCACCGCCGCCAACGCTGCTGCTGCTGTTCTTCTCTATTCCGGAATGGATCGCAACACGACCACTAACTTCGGTCGGACAGATACCACGAATAAGGAGTAAAATTGTGCCTCTTGAAAATTCACCCTCGGGGTGCGCCTATTGATAAGCACTGCACACCCACCCTGTTTTTCGCTGTTACCATAATGCGGAATGGGACGCATTCAGCGAGCACACGGAGGCAACTGCCAAGCTAACGGAGAAAGCGGGAGCCATCACAAAACATTGTCAAACACGGTTGAGACTGACAACACCGAACAATCAAAAACAACCACACAAATGATAAAACGAAAGCACCAACGGTGCCCGGCCTCCCCACCCCCCAGCACACCAACCCCAGGCTTGCAGGAGCAGCGCACACGAAGTACGTCACTCCTACCTTGCGGTACAATTATAGCTGCCCGACACCACCACTTAGCTCACGACCACAGCGGCCATTCTTTACACTACGCGGCCCGAGACTTTCTCTTCTCGGGTTCAGGGGCGGCGCGCCCTTCCCCCCCCCGCATCCCGCTGGCCTTCGCCGCGAGACCCAGGGTGTCTAGAGACCCTCCAGGCTTCACCGTGCCGCCGCCCAGGAGGATGCTGCGCGCGCCCGCGTTACCGCCGGCCCCAACCGTGACGGGCTTGAAGCTCATGGTTCCCTCGAAGTAGAACTGCGAAAAAAAAAAAAATGGACCAGATTTTACAGAAAAAAAAAAATAACAAGATATTACCAGGTACTTTAGTGCAGGCCGGATACAGCAGTAGCAGTAGTCTTGTTAAGAAGTTGAGCATCGAACCAACGGCAAGAGGACGGCTTAATGATCAGCATCGTTTCAAGATTTCAAGTGTGTTGGAAACACCGAAGATACCACCCTTTCCGTTGGGAGCCACAACCACAAAGCCCACCGACATGGTTGGTGCCTTTGCCAAGTAGGAGCATGGAACAACAACAGCAATGCGCGGTTCTTCGTCTCGACGGAGCTACAGTAGCTGTGTGGTCACGTTCGACTACAGCAGTACTTGTTGAAAGATCCATAGTTCTATGTCAACTCAAAGCGTGAGGGCTCGTGACACTACTGTACTGCAGCGAGAAGGTCTGGGTGTTTTGTTGGTTCGAGTCGCGCGATATAGTCTACGTATCATACACGATAAAAAACAGTGAGGCAACCGACGGACTGTCAATAACCTGCTAACTGCACCGCCATAAGAGCTCGCTCTGTTTCCAACACCAGCATGTAGCTGAAGGCTTTACACTCAGGGGGGCGCGTGCGCGCAAGAAAAATCTGACAAGAGTGCGAACATCGGAGAGGCATGATGCGGTACGAGAGATACGCCCTCCCCCCACCGGTGGGGGGTACCGCACGCTACTACGGGGTCCCGTCTGCGTCCTGTTCACGCGGCTTTTTCTCCGCAAGACCAATCATACAACCGCGAAAAACTTGTCGTCCTCGTCGTTGTTGCTGTCGCTGTTGTTGTTGTTGCCTTCACACCAGCAAAACCGTTCCGGTCTCTGCTCAGTACCTTCCAATGTCCGTACCGGCCAACTCACCACAAAAGGCTGGTGCACACGACCCAAAAAATCACACACGCCGAAATACAAGGCGAAAAGCAATACGGTGGTGCTAGCTACACTTCGAAAGATCAGAAAAGAAAGCAAATACAGGTAGCCTTCCTCTGACGCTATGGATTCATTGCTAATCTATCTTAGACTCTTTCTCAGATAGAGATGGATTCGTTGTGTCATATTAAGAAAAAAATAAAAAAATAAAAATAACAAGGGCCCACAACAACGCCACTACCAGCGAAAAAATGCGCACGAAAAGCTATGCGTTAGGTGGTTACCTGGGGGTGGGGGATGCAGTCCTCCTGGACTACGGCCCGGTCACCAATGGACACCTGCCGGAGTGCGATCGGAGTTGGCGATATGGGCGGTGGGTGGGGTTCAAAGGTGCGAGAATTATAAGAGATGTGAATGTGTCGGTACACCAAAGAAGAACTCATATAGTTGCGAGTGTTTCTGTCGTAGCAAGAGACTTGAAAGTACCGCGAGTACGGTGATGGGTCCAGACGCGACAGGAGAAAGAACGCAAAGGGAACGATAGAGCGACAGAGCGACCATCGATATCAGGCTGCTGTGCCATGGAGAATCACACGATACCGTGGGACCAACTTCCCGTGGTCCAAGAACAGCGACCACAGAAACAACAAGAACAACAACACCGAAAACAAAAACAACACCACAACCACCAACACCATCAACTAAGACCAAGCAAGCGTCTTCCCCCCGCTCCCTCCTTACACTGCTTACCAGGTCGTGATCCGTGAAGTACATGGTAGCCACGTCGGCGTCCCTACCCACGCTAGCCCCCAGCAGACGAGCGTAGCAGTTGAACATCTTGCCTCGCCTCAGGATGTCCACAAACAGGAAGTGTGCGTGGATTTGAAGGTACAAGACCAGCAGCGTCCTGTAGTGGTACACCGACCAGAGCCTGTGACGTGTGGTGTGGAATTTGACAGCAGATAGGGGGGGGGGGGGAGGACCAAACAAAGGAGAGATACATATTTAGTCAAAAATAACGTTGCATGGCAAAGGGCGATACATAGTCAAAGATAACGTTGCATGGGCAAAGGGCATCGTAGTCGTCGTGATGAAGCACGAACTTGTGGATTGGGTTCGAGAGAGCCTGCTGTGCGCGAGCAACAAACAAACTGCCATTTTAGTTCCAAGAACTAGCCTTGTCCTGATCTCCACTCTTTGACCGTGTTCCAGCAACTGACATTGCATTCCAGCGAGACTGTCTACTCCCAAGACAATGAACGTGCGGAGCCCCCCCCCCCCCTCTCACTTGGTATCGGAAGGGTGCTGCTTGCCGATGATGGTCCACTTCCCCACGGCCCCGGTCACCGCCAGCGACACCCCTAGCCCCAGCCACGCGAGGGGGGTCAACAGGCACGCCACCCCGGGACCCCCCAACGCCTCCGCCGCCCTCGCAAGCGCCAGCAGCGGCCAGAACGCCGCGCTCAGAGTGATCGCCGTCGACGCCGCCGCCAGCGGCAGCGGCGCCAGCAGGTACAGCCAGCGCTCCAGTCGCGACAGCTCTCGTGGGGGGGACGCGTACCGGCCCGCCACCACGGGGGCCGGGGATCCCAGGTGCAGGGCCCCCTCGCGGACCTCGTCGGAGGGGCCCAGTCGAGTGTTGGGGCCTAGGGCGGCCCCGTGGGGGAGGGTGGCTCCCGGGAGGGTGACCGAACCGGCGCCGTTCAAGCCCCTTTTTTGGTGTTGTTGGGGTATATCGTAGTGAATTTGTTCGGGCGGGGGGGGGGAGTTGGACGGGATCGGGCGGGTGTCAGTGTATGGAGGCATTGTTGTTGGTCGGCCGGTTAGGCGCGGTCGATGGTAACAAGCGAAGACACACAACATAACATACACCGAGACTGACGTATTTTGATTGGTCAGCCGGTTGGCGCGGTCGATGTTAATAATAAACACACACACAAAGAAGGACACTGTGGTCCAACTCTTGCGTCCCCTCTGCCGGTAAAACCCTTTGGTTTGATTATCAAGCTTGTTCGTTCCGTTTGTTATCCCGCTAGCTACAAGACTGGCGTCTTTTCATTGGTCAGCCGGTTAGCGCGGTCGATGCTACTAATATAAAAAACACACACGCACACACACACAGACACACACACCTGTCGCCGATGAAGGTTTTCCGAAGGGTGAACGAATTCGGGGCCGTGTAGATGCTGCAGTACGTGCTAGACGCGAAGCCCACGTGCATGTCATCTCCGAGGGTCAAGAGCTCGGGCTGAACACACATGCACGAACACACAGAAATAGTCGGTTTGGCGCAGGGAGAGATGCCGACATGCCATGTCAGAAGTCGCGATTTTAAGGGCCAAACGACTGTAAGGGCAATGAGTTGTGCATTCTTACCCCGGTTTAAGGTGGGCTGGCAGATATGTGAATACTGTCGCAAAACAAACGCCGTCATTGTAGCAACAGGAGACGAAAACGAAGACCAGTCTTGAGGTAAAGAGGGAACTAGAAGATCTACAAAAATAGGTGAAACACGGTCCAAGAAAGGAACCGAACGGAACACGAGCAAGGTCTTGAATGCGAAACGCTTTGATTGCACCAACCAACGCTCGTAGTAGGTAATAACCGGAGGCTAACGTTATTGAATCTAGTCGCAGATCGAGACGACTTTGCTTGCTGAATCCGCAAAGAAAAGATAACAAGACTGAAACGCCCAAGGTAGGCGATAAAACCGAAAACAGAGGCCATGTTAGCGCATCATCTATGCGGACAAAACATGGTCTTAAGACAAAACATGGTCTTAAGACATGATACACTTCACGCACCCTCCTTACCCACCCTTGGCTCGAATACGACACAACGAAACAACAAACACAAACACGAGCAGGGCATCTACAGAAAAAGATTGATTGCATACGTATGCATACGTACAAAACATACCTAGGCTATCCGTCAAATAGAAGAAAGCCTGCGCCGCCCAAGACGCTACTGACTCGACTTATTCAGATCTAATGAACTTCATACACACCTCCGTGTAGATGTTCTTGTTGAGCATGACGCTGACGCAACGACCCACGGGCCCCCCCAGCGCCATCAGCCACAACGAGTTACCCAGGTTACCGTTGAACATGAGCACCGAGCGCATCATCGCCGACATGATCAGCCTGTCCGTGATCTGTTGTTGTTTTGACGCACAACAACGAGAAAAAAAGGCACACGACGTCGGAGAGTTCAGCAAGTTACTGGCGAAACGGCAAACATTTTGAGAACCCTTTCGGGATCCCTCAACATCTGCGAGACCTCCCTAACCTCCTCCGTATATCTACCATACGTGACTCGTCATGCCACGGCACAAGTGCAGCGAATCAAAAGCTTTCCCGGACTGACGCGGTTGGTTATTTCTGTTGTTGTTGTCCTCACAATCAATAACGAGCCGGTCTACTTAACTGTAACGCTTCTATCTGACGCGAACGACTTCCGTCGTCACTGGCCAACTACCCAAAAAGGGGTACATACACCCTTCCGTCGTCACTGGCCAACTACCCAAAAAGGGGTACACACACCCTTCCGTAGTCACTGGCCAACTACCCAAAAAGGGGTACATACACCCTTCCGTCGTCACTGGCCAACTACCCAAAAAGGGGTACATACACCCTTCCGTCGTCACTGGCCAACTACCCTAAAAGGGGTACATAAAACGCTTCTTACAGAACCCGCCACCACTTACGAACCTCTTATGTTGGTCGAGGCTGGGGTTCTTAGTTACCAGTAGGTCCTAGCGAATGCTACAATCACCGCTATATATAGGTTTTAGTGTAGGGGTTCTCAACCGGGCTCGCAAATGGTGCCCAAGATCTAAAAACTTCAAAAAATGTTTTTTCAAGGCTCAATTTCTCAACTCATGGAATTTCCTAACTCCTGGGTTCTTGAGTGCGGGCGCGTTCTGTAAAATAGAAACCCAAAAGAAACAAGGTTGGTTGGGGGGTTTCTTTGGCAAGACCGCGCCTTGGTCAAAGCGTTTATTGCATTTCAAGTACCTGCTTGCGGAAGCCCAGCCAGGAGGTGGTGCAGCAAACGCCTTCCACCTGGGAAAACCTCTGAACCAGCACCCACTTGAGTATCACGGACAGGACCATGTGGGTAACGTGGAACACGACCGCCGACACCGCGGCCTGACGTCACACAAGACGTCGTTCGGTGCATTGAAAACGGAAAGAGGGCCGGTTGAGACAAGGGCTGAAAATATTCATTTACGCTATTGGTGACGACGTTCATTCTTAAAATAATCTTCAAAATAATCTGTATTCTTCAACTTTCGTTGTCTTTGGGGAACACACCAGTTCCAACGCTTACTGATGAAGAACGTCGGGCGACGTGTATTCGGGTCGATCCCTTAACTACCTTTTGGTACATCTGTCGACCCCCCCCCCCCCCCCCCCCCCCC